ACTACAATTATATAACTGAATGTTTTCTCTCCTCCATTAGACGAGGTAGTGAACAATGCCACTTCTGTGGTTCATGGAATCCTGGCCGGGGTTCCCGTGCCCTTCCCACTCAGCAACCCTGATGGCTGTAAGGACTCTGGGCTGGAGTGTCCTCTGAAGTCATCCACAACTTACACATACACGACCATACTGCCTGTCAAACCAGTCTACCCTCAGGTATCAACTGTTTTCTTTTGTCTTAGGTCTTTTGTGATTATTCTGATGATACATGTGACATTAATACTATATGAAATCATATGTTATCAGTTGATGTAGAAAAATGCTGTCACAGTGACAGTCATAATTTTCCCTAGCCGTGGACGACTCTGGTACCCTTTTTGCATGATAATGCCGGGACAGAGTCGTGGTGCAATGCATAGGCCAAAACCAACCTTTGCCGTGCCGGGCCTCATGCAACGGGCCGGCCCCGGTTTTTTGGTGTCGCTGGCTTCCCGACGCACTCACCTGCCGGGCCGGGGGGATAAGAACCCTAAACAAACGTAGCATTTAACCACAACACGGCCTCGGAGCACGTAACTCCATACAAACCATCGGCGATCGGCGCCATTTTGAAGTTAGGAATCGGCCCGCAAAACAGGTCGGACCCTGAGTTTACGACAGATTACGTCGTTATTTTCAACTCTCCAACGTTCAAGCTGCAGGTATCATGACGTAATCTGTCGTAAACTCAGGGTCCGACCTGTTTTGCGGGCCGATTCCTAACTTCAAAATGGCGCCGATCGCCGATGGTTTGTATGGAGTTACGTGCTCCGAGGCCGTGTTGTGGTTAAATGCTACGTTTGTTTAGGGTCTTATCCCCCCGGCCCGGCAGGTGAGTGCGTCGGGAAGCCAGCGACACCAAAAATCCGGGGCCGGCCCATTGCATGAGGCCCGGCACGGCAAAGGTTGGTTTTGGCCTATGCATTGCACCACGACTCTGTCCCGGCATTATCATGCAAAAAGGGTACCAGAGTCGTCCACGGCTAGGTAAACACATTAGCCAACTAAAGGGAACTAAACTAGTCAATGATATTTTATTTTGGTAGAATGTTACACAATCTTCTACATAAAAAACTGGAATATGTTTGCTTATGTCCCTGCTCTAATAAAACAGATGGTATCATCCAGAGAATATACATGAAGATGCATGTCATTGTACAATATTTTTAATGAGATAGCTGTTTGCCATACTGCAGAATGACCCTCATCAAACAATAAGAAACAGTTTAAACTATTGAACATGATATCAATAAAAGGCAAGGGTTTCACTACAACCACATGGTATCTTCCATAGTGAAAGGCTGATGCTTGTCAATATAACATTATGTATGTACTGTGGTCAATCCAAGATGTTAAACTACCTGAATAATATACTGATAATATACCTCTAGTACAGAAGACAGATTTCTAAAGGTACAACACAAACAATAAATGACTCAATATTATTACCAACAATATATAAATAGAGCTGTATATATAATGTAAATGAATGTTCATATACAAAGGAAGATAGCACACTCAATCAAACCAAAATGAAAATATACACAGATGGAAGAATACCGTTTGGAAGAAAAAAATCAACATAAATCAAAATGGCAAGTTAGCATTTCACAATCAAATTAAATACTTGTTGATATCATTGATCGTACAAGCTTGAAAATTGTGTGATTTAGATAATCTGTGAGGTTGGAAGATTGTATGGTTGAATTATTTGTGAACTTGGAAAATCATATGATTTAAAGTTAGCTACATTACATGTCATTATGATACTTCATACACATGGAAGGTGGATACAAGTATTACATTTGTATTAGCCATCCCACAGTTCCAGTGCTGCCAGGGATTGTGGGTAAGGTCAGAGGTTAAGGCCCATCAGAAGTACCCAAGTGGCCAGTACACTACATGAGGGCTGTGTTTTGGTACCTTCTGTGGTGTCCTGATTTGGCGTTGTGAACATGTCAGATTAGGAAACAGACTCAAAGGATACCGCTTGGGAAAACGGTACCGGTAGTGTAAAGGTGTAAAAATGGTGGATGGAGGTTGGAAGAATGGGAAGCTAAGTGGTGAACATGTCTGGTCTTCAACATTAGAAGGGCTTTAACTCTGACTTTAGACCACAATGCATTACAGCTGTACATGCATACTTGGGACTGTGAGGTGGCTGTTACCTGTGTAAGTTTTGAACAAGTACAAAAGGCACATAGTGCCCAACACCCTGCCACAACAAATACATGTATCCACACATCAATATAACAATGAAACTAGAGTTCCTCGACCACATACCTTAACCAATGATGTAAATCTTTATGACTGAAAAATTATAGATTATTCCCCCTGATCATGATGATGCAAATAGGGTCCTCATTTGCATNACCCAACATGCCGCTCATGTTGGAGGGGAACCCACCTGCAAATAAGGTAATTCACTCATATAGTCTGTGTTACACAATATCTCACTTCAGGGGCTTGTTAGACGCCCTCGTCTAAGACATGAGAGTGAGGCTGATCTAGAAATAAGAAGTACCAATACAATAGCAGCTCAGGTTTCTTTAGCTCTATGAAAACCAGTCCAATAGGAGCACAGGATTCTGTCACTATAGAAACCAGTCATTACGGCCACAGACATTTATCAATGTGACATCAATCGATTACAATTAGCTACAACAGTAGAAGGGCACATCTAAAAAAAAGAAAATGATTGAATGGGCCTTTCCACAGAATGCTCTGACAGAAGAGGACATCCTGAATGCACTTCCCGGAAAGAAGAAAACTGTTGAGATCAACCTGTTGACGGACGTCCTCAGTGAGCGGGCAACAAGGCCTCTGGGAGACTTCTTGGTTTCATACCTGCAGAGTCCCAAAGTGCTGCAGGTCGTTCAAAGGTACCCAATGTTTTCTGTTTAATTTTTTGTTTATTTTTGTTGTTGCGACATTTATTTCCAATACGCGATGGCACTCAATTCACTGTCAATTATCAAAAGATAACTACGTAAAGCAAACAAGGCAAATCATCAAGCAAATGATGCAAATAAGACAATTGTGAAACTATGAAATGAACAAATGTTTTCTCGCCCATGAAGTGTCTGGTTATTATAATTAAGGGGGTGATATTGAGAGATTAGCTATCGTTCCGCTTGGTTTGACATTACCTTAGCGTATCTGGATTCCCAAGCTGTGGAATTAATAAACCTTTAGAGTTTGTTCAAAAATTGTGTTTTTCAATGTCGTTTACAGGTTCAAGGAGGATCTTGATGCTGTTTCGAGCAAAATCGAAAGTGAAAACCAAACGCAGCGTTTTCAGCCTTACGACTACTTGGATCCGAAACTCATTCCAAACGCTATCAGCATCTAGAAAATCTGATCGTGTAGTTTCTGCAAGTGGTCAAGAATCTTTAAAGCGTTACAACCATCAATAACCAGATAAAACACGCATGTAATGAGTATCCTATTATCCAAGCATCAAATATACAAAAAGATGCGAAGAGAAAGTATGGTAAACAGTACTAAACACATTAGCCAACTAAAGGGAACTATTATTAAACTAGTCAATGATATTTTATTTGGGTAGAATGTTACACAATCTTCTACATAAAAAACTGGAATATGTTTGCTTATGTCCCTGCTCTAATAAAACAAATGGTATCATCCAGAGAATATACATGAAGATGCATATCCTTGTACAATATTTTTAATGAGATAGCTGTATACCATACTGCAGAATGACCCTCATCAAACAATAAGAAACAGTTTAAACTATTGAACATGATATCAATAAAAGGCAAGGGTTTCACTACAACCACATGGTATCTTCCGTAGTGAAAGGCTGATGCTTGTCAATATAACATTATGTATGTACTGTGGTCAATCCAAGATGTTAAACTACCTGAATAATATACTGATAATATACCTCTAGTACAGAAGACATATCAGATTTCTAAAGGTACAACACAAACAATAAATGACTCAATATTATTACCAACAATATATAAATAGAGCTGTATATATAATGTAAATGAATGTTCATATACAAAGGAAGATAGCACACTCAATCAAACCAAAATGAAAATATACACAGATGGAAGAATACCGTTTGGAAGAAAAAAATCAACATAAATCAAATAGGCAAGTTAGCATTTCACAATCAAATTAAATACTTGTTGATATCATTGATCGTGCAAGCTTGAAAATTGTGTGATTTAGATAATCTTTGAGGTTGGAAGATTGTATGGTTGAATTATTTGTGAACTTGGAAAATCATATGATTTAAAGTTAGCTACATTACATGTCATTATGATACTTCATACACATGGAAGGTGGATACAAGTATTACATTTGTATTAGCCATCCCACAGTTCCAGTGCTGCCATGGATTGTGGGTAAGGTCAGAGGTTAAGGCCCATCAGAAGTGCCCAAGTGGCCAGTACACTACATGAGGGCTGTATTTTGGTACCTTCTGTGGTGTCCTGATTTGTCGTTGTGAACATTTCAGATTAGGAAACAGACTCAAAGGATACCGCTTGGGAAAACGGTAGTGTAAAGGTGTAAAAATGGTGGATGGAGGTTGGAAGAATGGGAAGCTAAGTGGTGAAAATGTCTAGTCTTCAACAGTAGAAGGGCTTTAACTCTGACCTTAGACCACAATGCATTACAGCTGTACATGCATACTTGGGACTGTGAGGTGGCTCTTACTTGTGTAAGTTTTGAACAAGTACAAAAGGCACATAGTGCCCAACACCCTGCCACAAATACATGTATCCACACATCAATATAACAATGAAATCATGGTCACTATAAGCCACAGATACTAGTAACACATGAAATCATGTCAAATATGAACACCATAATGTCTTCTGTTTCCCAAGGACATACAGATTGTAGAATTGAAAAAAAAATCATGCTAAGGTATGAATGGCTTCCCCTAGATTGAGCACCCAAATATGAAGTAAATGTTGTTTGTTTCTCAAATTAGCTAACCTTTCTACTGATGGCACAGTATAAAATGTGAGGTTCAGTTACATAATATCAGGTCCACGTACGTGTTATTGTAAGTTATTCATCAATCATGCAAGTGACCTCATATGCATGAATGTTATAACATTTACACTAGTTTTACAAATTTAACCGGGGCCTAACTTATTCAATTAGTTGTTTCACTGCAAGTAAATGTCAAGACTGAAATTTGCCGAAGTACATGTACCACAGTTAATCACGCTATTTCCCTGTCTGGAAAGTCAGTTATCTATACACATACATGTACCTCATATCTTTTGCATTATTATCTCCTTTTTGGCAATTTTTCAATTACTCTTTAGACCTTGCACTGCCAAACTAACCAAACAGATCCCAACACAAAAACCTCTTTGAAATGATTAAAAGAATCTGAATAGATTTTCATTATCATCAATCTAACCAAACACAGAAGAGTACATGACCAAACTATACATGCATGTACAAGTTATATACGTAGTTACTGGCTCTAAATAACTTATGACATGTATATATGATAATTAGGTAATAATTTGCATAGCGAAGCACAGACACTGCTAGCACAAGAGTAAATACTCAACTGTTGTATTAACTACCATAAGTAAAGTAATGAGTAATGCTAACTACCAAAGTTGGCAAAAAAGACTTCTATAACATACATAATTCATATGTTCTCTTCTCAATACCAAAGTCTCAACAAGAAAATTGTACATGATGCCATCAACCTTTTCCAATAAATGTCTTTCATAGTAATAAGTATGAAGGTTCAGTAACTTTTACACCCTTGACTTGTGGTGCCTTTTCTGAAACATTAAATATATGCAAAGATATGCCGTTTTCAGTACAACTATTGTTTATCTTTAACTATCTTGTTGAAAAAAGTCAACAGCCATCTGAACATGTCTAGTCGAGCCATACAAAAATCAGTAGACATGAAGTTAGACATGCTCTTTGTTGGTATAGACTGTACTATTGTCTATCGGTAATAAGGTACACCTGCATCTATAAGGGCCAGATATCTGGACAATTTGGGGTTACTCCGGTGTTTATACTGTTATATAAACATGCAGCACATTTTACAGTATGTTTGTCCATACTAACTGTGTAAAGGAGAATTTACTGTGTCACCAGTTTACCAAATATACATTCAGCGCCCATCCTTCCTTTCAGTATTGTACACACTACCATCTGCCTATGACATTTGATATATCATGTCATAGAAAATTACTGTATTTTGCTTAACATGCATATAGGTAGTATCCATCCCCAGACATATACACAGTAAGTGTCCTGTATACATAGAACATATCTATTTTCCATCCACACGCTGTACATACAATGTTCCCACCCTGGTATCGCAGTAACATAACTTGGATAACCATCACTGTATATAATCGGGGGACTACGTTCGTATCTCCGCTACTACGTCTCTGGGAGCACAAGGCCTGCTGGGAAATCCAGGGGCCGTCTGCACCTTCACGTTGTTTATACCGGTTCCACGTAGTTGGCCGGGTACAAGCCAAAGCGCCCGCGGAACTTTCCTTTACACCAACCCTGTTCATCCTCATCCTCCAGCTTGGTCAGGAGGTCACCTAGTCAGAAACAGGGTGGATACGTTAGGGAGACTGACAGTTAAAACACTGCCTAGATTAGCTTTGGCAATCTCTGTAACAGTATGCATGAAACAGAGTACTACAGACCAAAGTTTTTGCTAATGGAAAAGTTACTTCACCACTAAGAACATGTTAAACTTCTGTGACAAAATATTACAAAACATGTACATGTAGTACATGTAGTCAAAGGCAGGATGTGCCCACACTTTTGATAAGTATTATGTCAATTTGGACATCCTTTATCATTAAGAAATATTTGTGTGATAAAAATTAGATTTTGAGTCACGAGATGTTAAATCATATGATCATGTTTTCAACAACCAATTCAGGTTAAGTTGACCATTATTACTGGCAATGGGAGATGAAAGTCAAAATACAGGATAGTCATGACATGTCCTGTGCAATGTTGGTTCCTCAACGTGGCTGACTCACCTGCTTTGAAAGTCAGTTCGTCGTCCTCCTGACCCTCGTAGTCGTACAGCGCCCGTACTGGAACCCCGACTTCTGCGTCTCCCGTCCCACCGCCACCCCCGCCATTTGTGAAGGGGTTGGCCTCGTCCTCATCACTCCACTCAGCTGTGTTGCTGGTGTTACTTGTCGGGCGTGAAGAGGCTTTACTGCAGACGGGGACAGAAAAACTGGTTAGAAAAACATGTGCCTCTATTACATCAAGGTTTGACATCCATGTAGAACATTACGTAACATAAAAAATTAATCAAGCAACTGGAGGAATTCTCTAAAGATAGCATTTTCTATCTTTCATTATTGACTGAGTACTAGTATATGTATCTGAATTGAATATGTAAAACTATGTTACTGAGAAAAATCAAGTAACTCCTTTCAGACCTGCTGATTTTCAGAGATTCCTTTATATACAGATTACACTTGTCTTCTGACTGATTCTCACTGCTGAAAGATAGTGGATGCTATCTGAAACATCTGACTCTTTAGAGGATTTATCCAGTTGCTTGATTTATTTTGTATTACATTATGTGCCACTATTTTCCAGGCATGGTTCCCTTTTTTCAAGCAACACAGTTTTTTTACATCCCAGTTTCTCTAGTTACAGTAATCTTCAGTTATGAATTCTAATAAGATCATGCTCTTGCATTACATTTGTTAATAAGAAGCCTCAGTTTCTAAATGCTTAAGGGATGCTTTTTACTTTATGATACATGCAACGTAATGATGATGAACAGTGGTACAACAACACAATGTCAAAATATCAGCCAGCAAGTGAGCAGGAGCTTCACTATATGAAAACATCCCAGGTTAGTAGCATTGATAACGCCACACCAATCCAATTCCTTGGTTCTCAGACATTTTGAAATAATATTTTGGCAAGAGGATACTGCAAAAACTTGACCATTTACTCCTTGAAACTGTGGGTACCAAGGCACAGACTTTCTCTTCAGACTTTGTTTCCAAGTTGATCTGCCTGTTCAGCATTATTATCGAAAACCCGAGAACCACCAAATCAAATTGGTGTGACCTAATGACTGTTATATGTGGTGAGCAGTGAGCGGTCTGTCAGCCAGTCCTGCCCTGCACAAAATAACAGGTCAATCCAATACAAGCTGCGTTCCTGTTGGCTGAACAACTTAAAGAGATTATAACATGCTGGAGAGACAGGTACAAACAACAGGAACTTCTGTTGCTTGGTGTCTTGCCATGGCTCAAGCAGAGACATTTGAATGAATGATATGGCAGAAAAGATTATAATGTAATTATAATGTTACGAATCCTTCAGCTGAAGTGCATGTAATTGTTAAGTTATAATGAACCCCTAGGTACAAATGTGACCTACTGTATCCTTTTCCTTTATATTGCCTTTACAGTGAATAACGACCCAATGTGACATTATCTAAGTTTTTACACTGTAAACGTGAAATGACAGCGATCCTGTATGGGTGATGAAGAACAATCTGTTTTGCCTGGTTACTTACAATGTGAACGTAAGTATTCATCCACTCTATAATAAGACTATACTATGATCTTAACAGATCACTTCCATGGGGACATATGCACCTACATGTATAGTTAACACATGAGGTCTCCGATGCCTAGAAACTGGTACTATGTAAATCTTGTATTATACACAGTGGTTTTACGTTGCCGTTTTAGCAATGAGTTGTCAATGCAAACGCATCACAGCTCAAACATGTGGTGTCTCACTACTGGTGTATGGCTTTAACCATGAACTTAAAATACTGCAAACACCTCCTTAAGATGATTTATGTAACTACACTTGTAATCCACGGGCAACAGGCAATGTATAAGTGTTCAATATTCCAAAATTTGTATGTAATTCATAGTCAATGGACATAAAAATTATCTTTTTATGTCCAAAAGTTATCAGCTCAAATGTTTTGCAGCTCAAATGTAAATGGCCTAAATGTAAGTGGTGGAAAAACTGTATGGAAAGATTTACTGAAATCAGACCCCCTTCACCACATCAGTAATATTTTTGGTCATTCCACATACATTGTACTTGGTTCACAGTTTTTTTCTTAATTCCGCTTTTAGTCTGACAATGTTTGTGAGTTGTTTAAATGGTACTGATGTTGACAATGCAGTTAGTAGGCAAACACTGAACAAGACAAAATAATGGAAAGAAAATGTAACGCTTTGCTCTGTAAAATTCACCACATCCGTGACGGTTCACCTTGTTGGGTTGTCATCTTCCGCAAAAGGGTTCTTGGAATCATCATAATCATCAACTGAACCAGACGAACTGTAAACAAATTTGCATATCACATAATCAACACAAGTGCGTGGCACTGTTTGTATCCAAAGCTCTTCCCCATTATACAGTCACCAAACAAATAACAACTCCGACAATATCATAAACCATAAACAACAACAAAACAACATAATATCTTCAGTTTAATCATGTACGTGTTCGCCAAGTTTTCTTTTCGAAATATATATATTTCTCATCTATTTCGATTGAAACTTCTAAAATTGATTTGGACCATAAATATCAATTTAGTAGAATTATCTTAAAATTTAAAGTAGAGGAACCTCTCCTGATCAAAATTCAGCCCTCATTTTCATCTTACGCTTTCGTAATTTTGTAATTTCATATCAAAGTAGACAAGATAAGCTCAATATCTTGGCAAGCCCTTCAAAAACAAGCTGCTTTAATTAAAAATCTTAATCTCCTTTATCTTCTCTAATAAAAAAAGAAAGATAGATACAATGCAATTCATCATGGTGTACTGTGCATTCTCTAAACTTAGGTTAGCAGATGATATTTCTCTATTTCGTTTGCTACTCAGGCAGTGGAAGCAGGGAATCAAAATGTGGCCCAGTTGTTACTTGAGGGTATGGAGTTTTGCTTTCGGTGTGTCCGTTTGTGTGTTTGCTTGTGTTTACATAATCATTTCTACCTGCTAGGCAAGTGGAGGGCACTTAGAGGAAGTTAGGTCAAAGGTCCCAGAAAAGGTTATCTCATTTCTTGTCAGCTGTGTGTAATGCATGTCTGTTGCCCGATAGGGGCCATTTGGAAAATGCATACTAGACAGAATCAGCCACAAATAAACAATAGAGAATAAAACAGGAAATTCACAAAAGCTCCTTGATTTCCTGTTTGTTGAGAACAAAATCATCATCATCATCATCACTACCATTTCTTAGTGAAGGGATCCTTGATACTAGGACCAGCAAGACCAGGGCTGGTCTGAGTCTCCTTGGAGACGTGAGAGAGCAGGCTCTGAGGTCGCGGGGGCTTCTGAAGACTCTTTGGTCTTATAACACAAGAGGGGAACACACACACACAGCGACAGACACAACACAAGAGAGAAAAGTTAATGTGTTACCATTCACAGCATAAAACTGAAGAAAAAGATGAAAAAGAGCTGTCATTTTAAAGGGTTATATTTGTTTTCACTCGGGGTTAGTCAGATCAGACATGCACATCAAGTCATCAAGGTTGTCTTTGGTGTCGACTGTTTCAGATTGGTTCACACAGCCAGCTCCTCAGCTCTAGGACCAACATGCTAGCCTGGATACCAGACTGTTTCCAGGACTTACACAGCAAACTTCTCAGCTTTGGGACCAGCACGCCTTCAAGGACATTTTACCACATACCGCATACACACACATTGCCGAATTTTTGGAAAATTTAAGACCATCGTGATATGGTGCAATGTGATTGGAGAAACTTTTTCACAAAAAAAAAATAATTCTGGGTTCTGTGTGACCTCTGAGTGGTTATTTTGAAGGTCAATAAGATAGGAGGATTTCCTCAGGCAGATGAGAAAATATAAGCCATGATGCAGTGTCACAGACTGTGCAGTTCAGGTGTTATCACAAAGATGTAATGCATTCCCTATGACCATCACATGGTTTGAAGTGACTGATCTCCATACAGCATATCCACATGCACCATAATGCATGTTCACTCATGAGACATTCCAGCTCCTACAGTCACCTGACAATGTTGACCTGTACCTCCTGGTACGTGGGGTTCACCATGACTACAGGCTGACTTTGATTTCTGTGAGAGATTCGAGACACGTCACATGTAAACAAACCCCAATGTACCAAAAATAATGGTCTTGTGACACACCTAATGGCTATTCAGCTGCCTAATGTTTCAGTAACTCCTCAGCTACATAATATACCCTCCTCATAATGGCCTGAATGGACTCTAGTACTCTTTTCCACAATGTGGTGTTGGTCCAGGGTTGGGTCCTTAAACATGACTTATTTTCTTATAATGTACAAAGCTAATGAAGCCATTTACAGAAACCCCAAACACAAGCTCATTTATCTTTTGGAACTGTTTGATCTTCATGCTCCAAAATGTTCCAAGGCTTGTTAATTTGATCAACAAAGACATTATTTCCTAGAACTTTGAACAAACTGTAACTATGGAACAGAATTAAAAAAAAATTATCAAACTTCATTTGTACATGAACATGCACACAATACAGATCTGAATGAATACTCTGAACATTAGAACCATATAAACATTGGTGGTTTGCAAACTCTGCAACACTTTAGTTTAACAAACAGAAAATGTTATTTTGGCATATAACTTATAAGAGAAGACGCAGAGAAATGTGAATGAACTGCTCAGGAGCAGAATACAGCATGCAGGTATATTGAAAAAGGAAAGAACTGGAATGAATGATTGAATGAATGAAAGAAGCACAGATTGAGTCACCTTCTCGCCACCATAGTGCTGTGTCTTTGATCATGTGGGGAGTTGTTAAGGGAAGATTGGCAAGTGTCACTCATGCTTTTTGGTCTGGCCCGTGCCCCCAAACCGGGCAACCTCCAACCTAACGCCCTGCGTCTACTGAGTCTGGTGGATGTTAGGGAGAGGTGCAGGAGGAAAGAGAAAGAAAGAGACGACAGAAAGAGCACAAACATAAACCACACAAATACTACTACATGTACATATAAAATGCCCGAATAAACATCTAAAAGCAAGCCTTGCAGCAGCATTCCACCCATACCGCAAGTTTCAACTTGTTAAAAACTGGCAAACACACACCCTATACATGTATATCATTTTAATACATTGGACATGTTTGTCTACAGTTTTGAGACAATCTTGATGTTCTGACAAATTATTTAGCTGCCCTTTGAAGGCAATGATGTCCAAAGGTGACCTGGTAGGAATGCTGCATCATTATACATGTAGCTTACATGCTAAAAAATCAGCATATCTAACAAATTTGCACTTCTCTGTGGGATTACATGTACATCTATCTTTCAGAGAGAACAGCAAGGGCGTACCACAGGTATACAAACATAGGTTTTAAGTCTAACAAAAATGACATATGGTAACTGTAATACAAAAATACTGGAGTGAATTAGGAATGGTGGAACTGAAAACTTGACAGTTTCATGTCAACAAGAGAAACAAGGTACATGTAGCCGGCTATCATTTATTTGATTGAAGATGGTTTAATCTATTTTCATGCCAGAAAATAAAGTATTACTTATCTTTGTCTGTATCTATACATCAAAATGTATGCCAACAGATGGGCCAGCCCCATCGATAATAATGCAAATACTATTTACAACAGTGTACACGGTACTTTTAAAGTCAAGTACAGTTGTTATATCAACAAAAATCCGGAAAACAATAGACGAAAAGTATAGACCGCCACATAAGGACACCCCATTGTGATGACATAGTCTAAAGAAAGTGTTTTGAAGGATGTGTACAAACTGTAATGTATGCTGGGTAAGGGGAGGACTGAGGCCATCTAGCTAGTAACTCCCTTACCCTGGTATAAATGCCTTATCCATGATACTGTGTACTTCACTGTGGAACATGGTTAGTTCAAACGGAAGAAAAACAACAAAGGACATACACCCATAGCCCATTAATATACATGTGTATACTTGCACTTTGTATTATGCAGGGCTTGAAATACTTTTTTCTTGTGAGGCGTTTTGAGGGTATTGTATAGTATATTCCCCTAGTGTCACAGGATAGGTGCAAATACCTACACAGCTCCAATCTTACTAACAGTAACCTGCATATACAGATAGTATTTCAAGCCCTCATGACTCACATGACCAGTATGTATAACACATGTATCTATAGCATCTAAATGACTTACTTCTGTGAATCCTGAGCCTGTTGGTGGTGGTAGGAGTTGGGCTGGTAGTTCTCTGTCAGAGGGGGGTGATGTTTGTCATGGTGATCCCTTCGTTTGCCACGTTCTTCTTACTCTTCTTGGTGATGGCACGCAGCTCTGGGTTGTATTCCTGTTTAGAGCATAGTATTGTTATTGGGTGGATCAACTGCTCTCTGGATTGTACGGGGAAGCAGGGGGCTACATTTCAACGGTCTGTAATGGCAGTCTTTCAAACTTGATTTACATACCAGTGAAACAAGAAGTTAGTGACTTGTCAGTCTCTGATACATATGTGTTGACTAGTTCTGCCAGTTCATTCTGGTAATGCTGAGGAAGAGTGATCAATGTCACTCAAACGTCCAGAAGTAATCTTGGTATTTTATCCAGTAGTAGAGTTTGAATTGTCTACGAGTATCGTTTACCTGGATGTCTGACCTACATCAACATATTACATTAACCCCTGGGTACTACTGTGTAATATGATATTATTTAGGTCTTGTTACCTCAAACTGTGGCCAGTTCATGCCCATCTCTGTTCCATGGTTTTTGGCCCACCATTTGAGGTCCTGTCCAGACTCCACCTTGACTATAGACTGCTGCAAGTCTGTGTAAATCTGAGGAAATCTGAGAAAGGAACAGGTAGGGTTGGCACAAATACATATTTCAGTTTTGACAACTTTCAGTCGCACAACTTTGTAATGAACAGGTTCACACTTCTGCAGAGTACAAAGACTGCTTGCATAACAGTATGTCATTTTCATTAACAACTGTGGGTGTGTTTGAACATGCTCAATGTATGTCTGGTGCATTTGAATGCGTGCATGTAAGAGCAAAGTATGTTAAACATGTTTGAATGTTGAAGAGAATTCCCGTGAACAAACTCACCTTTGTTCTACCGACAAGTCTAGACATTGGTGCATATTAAGCAGTGTCTGTTTGAAGAACTGAAGTCGTTTTTCTTCAAACTCCTGGCACTTCTGAAACTGCAGGGTCATGTCCTCCATGTACTTGGCATTGTACCCGTTGATCTCCTGTAGGGCTTTGTCATACTTGTCTTTTGTCTGAGAATAAAAAAAACATGTTCAAAAATCAAGATCAGAGATCTTTCAACTTACGGGAGGTATGCAATCCTCAGCTTCCCGAATTCCTGCATATTTACCTGATTCCTGTTGGCTCCTGGCCAGATTCTGAGATCTTTGAACTCCTTTCATTCTGCCTGTCAATATTCCCCCACCTGCACACTGTCAACCTACTCTGTAGACAAACAGATACGAAAACCCACAGCCCAAGTTCTTGGTCCAGAGACAGGGTCACTGACCACTGGACTATGCATGCTACACTAAGAATGTTGATATTATACACCCAGTTCCAAGTTACCTTTGTTGTCTCAGCTTTACATTTTTCCACTCTCTCTCGGAGAGCCTTGACCTTGTCAGGTGAGATGGAGGTGTCCTTCTTGCCGTTGTTCTCTGCGTTGATGGCAGTCTTCTCATTCCGACAGGCTGTGTGGTACGCTTTCTTTGATTGGTTTACCTGTATGGAGAGTAGCCAAGGAAGGTGTTTAGTTTCACAATGTGTCTGTCTTGATATGTTCATTTGTATGACTAATACCCAAGGCAGAATACTGCCATGATATGTCTATATAACGCAATGTAAATCTTGTGCTTCTGCCACCTATTGATAACATTTATGCATGAAACCGGCCTAAACTTTTACCCTGCTTCTTCCAGGAGGAACAAGGAATATTCTTTGTTTCTTCACTAATGTTTCTTGCTGTATCTCAAGTCATTATATCGAAGGAGTGTTTAGGGTACTGAAGATAAGGATAAAACTGAAGGAACTGTAAGACAAGAAATTCATACTGATTTGTTTTCTTTCCACACAATATAAACAGTCAAACAGTAATGTGTGGGGAAATAGTACATAAAGTTACCCTTTGTAGCATTTTGGCCCATGGTTTCTGTGCCTTTCTGAATGCATCGTCTGCTTCTTTTGTCTCCTTGAAGCCTGTCATCATCAACTTCTTGTAATTCTCCTTCTGCCAGGTGGCCACCTCCTCCTGAATGTCTGAGATGAGCTTGTCACGAACCTCCATGTGCAAGTCGTGAACTCTCTCTGCTTCAGTACAGAAGCTCTTCCACCCTGAAGCCATGGTGCCATACTCTGGACCTGTGGGAGGGGGAGGTAACAATCATGATGGCATAGATCAGAGGTTAGGGTGGTTTGGTCACAGGTTAGGGTGGTTTACCCTCCTGACTGATTACAAAAATGAGACGTCCCAATAGGAGCTCAGGATTCTTTATAACCATAAAAATAAATTCAATTGGAGGTCATCTAAGTCATCACAGACTTCAATGCCATGGAAACAGTCTGTTTTTAGTCTTACAATAATTTGTCCATGTGCACACATATGCATAAATGAACAGGATTAGAATATTCACAACTCTCCTCCTGACTTAAGACTTAGAGGTGTTGGCCATCAGGCTTCTAGGGTCTAACTGATGGAAGTGTTAGTTAGCAGCTAGACAGTTATGACATATACATCTGCTTGAGTACTGATTTTTACCTTCTTCAACAGACTTGTTCCATTTCTTGGCCCAATGCTTGAGTGCCTTTGCATAGGATTTCTCAATCTCACATCGCTCCTTGACCATCGTCATGAGTTCGTTACACAGGCGGTACCCGTCCTCCATACGCTTCACCGTGGTCTTGTAGTTCCCGACCTCCCAGAAGGAGTCGGAGGAAGGCTGAGGTAACGAGCCCTCGTCACTCGGCGCGTAGTTCGACATGGTGGTCAGGTCAGAGTTCGGAGTGTAGA